TTGCACAAAACTCCTTCTATTTTTCAAAAATCTATCGCACTTACCGCATTAGTGGGTCCTACTTTCATAATGCACAACGAACTTAACATGCACTAACTTATACCAAGAAAATGATTTAAAACTTGAATCACTTATAAAAATATATAGAAAATTTAAGGTAATAAGGTAAAGTAAAGAAATTGTATTCGAAGAAATAAAATAAAATAAAGAAATTTTTTTGGTTCTTCACAGACCATCCCATTCCTTACCTACCCCAATCAACTTCCTCAAGCGTAAGTCCTAAACAACACAAAACTCAAGAAAAAATAGGGCAACACAATTGTGTTCTTTAGTGAGACTACTGACAGAAATAAAATTACAATGAAAACTCAGAGCATGCAAAATATTATGCAAAGTAATCAGGGAGTTCAAATGATGACTACCATATTCGTAAAGTTGTTTCATAGTGCCATCAGGTAGGAATATATTAGTGGATTTTTTTTTATTTAATTAGGTCAAACAAGAAAGTTTTATCACCTATAAAGTGATGAGTAGCACCTGCATCTAGTAACCAAGTGCAGCATGAGGGCGAGGAATTTGGAGTTAAAGAATGGGTTACATTACCAGCAAAATTAACCGAGCCAGAGCCAGAGTTTTTGTCACTATTCAAAAATGACAAAAGTTGCTCATACTGTGCGGCTGTCAAACCACGAACCAAAGAAGTTGAAATTGAAGAATTTGTAGTATCATTCAAGCACACATTTGCAGCGGTGGGATTTTTCCTTGAAGACTGCTAATTATTTGGATATCCTATAAACTCCTAACACCTATCTATTGTGTGGCCAGTCTTATTACAATGATCACATCGTAATTTGGGCTGTTTCGAAGATTGATTTCCATTTTGACGTGGTTGGCCTTGCTGTCGTCGAACATGAAGCATCTCAGAACCATATTGAGATGGTTGCCGTCTAACAGAACTAGATCGTGGCCGCTGCTGCTGCTGCTAAACATAGAAAGCTCCTGCCCCATCAGAATCTTGTGGACCAAGAAGACTCAGTTGCTTCTCTTCCGTCTTAACCATGTTGAATATACGATTAAGTGAAGAGAAAGGCTCAATTGCCGATATTTGAGATCGAATGGTTTTAAATTTTTCATCAAATCCTGTCAAAAATTGGTGTGAGCGCTCTTCATCCCTTTAAACAACCCATTCTTTCAATCCCCCACATGAGCAATTTGGAAGTTTTGAATAGGCACTCAACTTATCCCATAAGGCTTTAAGTTTGGAGTAAAAGGTGGTCACCGAAGCTGTTCTTTGAGTAGACAAAGCAATGTCCTTTCTTATTTCATAGATTTTGGATTCATTGCTTTGACCAAAACTTTCTTCCAAATCCACCCAAAGTTCCCTAGCTGAGTCATGATAAGTGATCGAATCATGCAGATCCGGACTAATTGAATTAATAAGTGAGGAAAGAACTAGCCTATCACATTTACTCCAAAACAATGCTTCACGGCTTCCAACTTTCGGTTGCGGCAATTCTTCATTCACAAATGGGATTTTATTTTTGCTTCTCAAAGAATTCAAAATATTTCGTTTTCATCGTTGATAATTGTCACAATCAAGCAACGTTAGGACTAACGAAGCATTGGTGTAATCGGCAGAAGTAAAAAAATATGGGGAACTTGGATCACGGAACAAATCACTAATCGAGGAGTATCCTGGATTCTGTGATTCGATTTGCTCCACCATTATTCCAAGAACGTAACAAGAAGAAACAAAAAAAAAATCAAAATATGGAGAGAAGAGCAAGAAGGATCTTTGCTTTGATACCATGACAAAAGGTGGCAATCTTATTCATGGAAAAACAAGTGCCATCTACAGCTGAAAGTTTATAGAAAAAATAAATAGCAGACTTCTAGCCTGACATACATACTAGAATACTACACTAATTCTATCATTATCATACAACTAGTTTTATAAAAGACTACAAAAACTAATTTTATCTTAAGCGTATAGTTGTTACAAGAGATAACAAGATAAGGAATAAGGATTAGGTACGCTAACAAATTTTGTAGGTCATAATCAAAGGTTCTGCAATTAACTTCTCATCTTGGTAGAGTATGATTTGAATTCCCCATAGACTATCTTGGAAATTCAAGTGTGATGAGACCAACTAATGAGAATTGTTGCAACTGTTTCACTTATTACATGGAGGAAATTTAAAAAAGCAAAGTGAACCTAACCAAAGCAACAGTGCATTAAAAAAATTTTTCTAAAAATTCAAGACTAAACTAGAACTTTAACCCTTGTTTGGTATGCGAGAATACCCAACATGGAAAGATCTTTACACCCAAGATATATTTCCACCCAGAGTGGCAAGGATTTAGTAGACAAGTCAAAATTTCGTATTTTATTATTCCAGGATTTAGTAGACAAGTCAAAATGAAATGTTTACTCAAATTTCAATGTTTGGTATAATTAATATTTAGCTAATAGAATAGAACAAATTAAATACAAATTTGACTTAATTGTCCTGGATTAGTTCATAGGGCGTAATATGTCTTATTACTTTTTTATTTGTTGTATAATAGTATATGTCTATTTACATGAAATATGTATATTTTTACTTCAAAAATAAATGAGAATTCTTTAACTGTAATACGTGATTCATTTTAGTGTATAGATTTTTAAGTTAAAATTTTGCATTTACTAGCAATGTAATTAGTAATATAAAAGGATTAAGTTGTTAAAACTTAAAAGAGATAGAATTATGAGAAAAATTGATTTGAGAAGAGTTGGATATGAATATGAGCAAAAATTCAAGTATTTAAACGACCTTCATATTTGTTCCATTAGGCATGCCACTTAGGATATAGAAAATGGGTAATTAAATTAACAACTTTCCTATATATATATATATATATATATATATATGCACTTTCATTTGATAAGATTAGTTGTTTGTTAAAACTATATCATTAAGATAAGATTAGTTATTTTTTAAAGTTATTTTAAAATTAGAGATAATTTTTAAACATATAATATAATCCAAATAGGATTCAATATGGATAAAACCCAAGTGACTCATTAATTCTCTTCAATTAGGCATGCCACGTAGAAGTAAGAAACAACTCTAATTAAAATAATTACTTTCGTATCTGTGTATAGATGGCAGAGATTTATTGCTTAGGTAATCCAATCGAACATCATATAAAATGGTAGTGCTTGACGCTTGGTCTTCCTTCATCTACACCCAAGTCCCAACAACCTATCATTTGGCTATACATATACATATATATATATATATATATATGTATAGATGTCAGAGATTTACTGCTTAGGTAATCCAATCGAACGTCACATAAAATGGTAGTGCTTTTTTGAATATTAAAATGGTAGTGCTTGACGCTTGGTCTTCCTTCATCTACTCGCAACAACCTATCATTTGGCTGTACTAAGATTGACATTGATTTTTCTTTTTTCTTTTTTTGGTTAATATCTACTATCTAACGGGATCTTTTAGCGGATATGAAATTGATTAATGGTTCACACCAAAATTGTATGTAGCAAAAGTTGTTTAGTATCAACATGTGCACTTGTAGATACCTGATAAATTACTATAATGCTCAAATGCCATATTCACAATCAGTTTGCAGGAGTACCTCTTCTTTGTGCTCAGGACCTCGGTAGAAGTAAAAGAGTACACGTATGGAAACAGACGATGCAGACACGAAGAAAATGTACGCTTGCTTGTTATATTTTCCCCCTAATTTTGAGTAAGTTTAGATACACTTTGTAGGCGCATGAAAATGGAGTCTTACAATTTACAAGTTCTATCTAGAAAAAAATGATTGACATAAATTTTATAATTTTTTATATAAAATTATACAATTTAGATGTGAATTTGAATTTGTCAACTTATATGAGTAAGTTGATAAAATATTGATGATTACACCAAAAATAATACAAATTTACATTAGATGTAATAACTAATAAGAATTACATGAACTGATTTGAATTTGGCAAAACTCAACTTATGAGGGATCGATGGGAACGGAAATGGGGGTAGGGATAGGGCGGGGGAGGGGCCGCTACCCACTAATTTCCCCACCTCCGCCCTACTTCTCCCACGGTGACACCCGTGAGATTAATAAAAATTTGTCATATAATTTTATTGTAGTCAAAATTTAGCAAAGAATGAAGTATTTAAATACTAACACATCACTAAGTCGTTATCTATTGTAATTTTACAATTGAAACCCATAAAAATAATCAAACAAAAGTTATTTGAATACAATCCAACATAATGAGATAAATATAACTAAAGTAGTTAAGTTTTCAATTTTAAGACAAATATAATCACTAAGTCATTATTGTAATTTTTGAGAAAAAAAAGTATTATTGTGTTAAGTGTAATTAGAAATTTATTATAATTGTATTAGTAAATTTAGTATAACTAATTAATAATTTCTATTAGTAGACACGTGTAATTATTGGTATAATTGATAATATCAATTATATCACATACACTAATATATATTATATAATATTTATAATTAATAATATCATTATTATAAGTTTGTAACTATATATACATATATAATTTTTTTTAATGAGTGGCAGGGTACGGGATGGGTGGGGGGTATACTCCCCCAACCCCGCCCATTTTTTAATGGGGGGAAAAAATTCCCCTGCCCCATTAGTCTTCCACGGACACCGGCTCAATTGCCATCTGGATCCTAATTGTACCAATTAGGAGATTAGAGTTGCTAATTAAATATAAACATGTGTTTTGGTAGTTAAAGAAAAGGAAACTGTAAAACATTTGCTTGGCTGCCCACAAGCTATTGCTCGTCGAGGCTGATTGATCATTCATTTTTTTAATAGGTCGTCGTCAGTACAATAGGAAAAATTATTGCAACGTGGTTCATATGAATCCCATACCCCGCCTATAAATTGCTAACTAGATCTAGTAGCGATTCACACAGCCAAAAAGAAACAATCCTAGAATCTCAAAAAAAAAATGGATTTTGCTAGAAATGGTGACCATACTGGTGAGCTTTTTCAAGCTCAAGCTCACATATGGAACCATCTATTCAACTTCATAAATTCCATGTCCCTCAAATGTGCAATTCAATTAGGCATTCCAGACATTATTCACAAACATGGCCAGCCAATGGCCCTTGCTCAATTGATCGATGCTCTTCCCATCAATAATGCAAAAGCCCATTTTGTTTATCGCCTAATGCGGATTCTAATCCACTCGGGATTCTTCATCAAAGCAAAGATGCCCGATAATGAAGGCCACGAGGGGTATGCACTCACTTCCGCTTCGAAACTTCTACTAGCAAATGACCCTTTTAGCGTGACACCGTTTCTACTTGCCATGCTTGATCCAATCTTGACTGATCCATGGCACCATTTTAGCCAGTGGTTTCAAGACAATGAAGAAACCCCATTTCATAGCTGTCATGGGACATCAATGTGGGAGCTTGCAGGTCGCCAACCGCGGCTAAACCAGTTTTTTAATGAAGGCATGGCTAGTGATGCCCGGTTGGTTTGCACCATGGTTATCAAGAACTGTAAGGATGTTTTTATGGGGCTGAATTCGTTGATTGATGTTGGAGGTGGAACTGGAACTGTGGCTAAGGCTATAGCTGATGCTTTTCCCCATCTGAAATGCTCTGTGCTTGATCTTCCTCATGTTGTTGATGGCTCGGAAAGTAGTAAGAACTTGGCCTATGTTGGAGGTGACATGTTTGAAGCCATTCCTCCTTCAGATGCTGTTTTATTGAAGGTATAAATCAATCAGGCATGGTTTATTGGTTCAATAACTAGCTTTTTGGAGCTTGTTTAATTTTTTTTGTACTTTGCTTCAGTTCCCCCTATTAAACTTCACCTGTTAAAGAGACAACTGTCAACTTCAAGTGAACAAGAAATATGCTTAATTTGGAAACTGCACCATGAAGAAAAAAGGATAAACATGTTTTAACAAGTACAATATCAACACCCTTTTTTTTTTTTTTTAATTTCTTAAGATAGGATCTAGTACTGCTAGTCGTATCTTATGACTAATTAATAGAGCAAATTGTGTTTCATGTCCTCCGGAATAGTCAAGTTATGGTTTCCACGTTCAAAAATGAAATTTTATACAATGGAGTGATACATCTTTGCCCCTTGTGTATGTGATCAAACATTATATCACCTTGTTACTCTTCATACACTAAACTTGGTGATACTTTTTATGTTTTTGTTGATTGATAAAAATAACGACAGTCTTGCTTTTTATCTTCTCCCACACTCGATCTCTATCATTTTCTTTTAATTAATCATTTTATTCAATAAATTTCACATGGGATATATACGAGTTTTCTGACAAATTCTTCAATGCTTTTATGATGCTATTGGCAGTGGATATTGCATGATTGGAGCGATGAGGAGTGTGTACAAATACTTAGGAAATGTAAAGAAGCAATTCCTAGCAAGGAAAAGGGTGGCAAGGTGATAATTATTGACATGCTGCTGAAAAGCCGGCAAAATGGAGATGATGATGATAATGCGGAGGCTATTGAAACCCAATTGTTCTTTGATATGCTGATGATGGTTCTGGTCAAAGGAAGAGAAAGAAATGAGAAAGATTGGGCAAAGCTTTTCTTTGAGGCAGGCTTCAATGGTTACAAGATAACTCCTGTACTGGGCTTGAGATCTGTCATTGAGGTTTATTATTATTAATAAGTTTCTTGCACTTTGTTTGTGCTAAAGAGTGATGGATCTGCGTTCAAGACCTTCAAAATAAGTTTCCTTAAACATGGAACATATGTTTGATGCTATGATTTGTAGTACCAAAATATGTCGATTAATATAATTGTGAAGGAAGTATAACTATTAATCTTCCAATGATATGATGGTATAGAATTGTCAACCTCAACTGCAAAACACATTATACTCTTATTGGATTAATTTTCTATATACTGACATTTTCACCATTAGATGCATGAAACATAATCCAAATTTGAATTTAAAATTCAAATTTTACATATGTTTCGTATATCCAATCGTGATAATGTATGCACCGTCAATGTATATAAGATTTACTCTTATTTATTTTCAAACATCATCCATTAGTTCTTCATAACAACATCTGGGCTGCTTTTAAGGGTTATTATCACTTTACCCCCTTAAACCATATTACTACTATCGGTTTATCCCCTAATGTTATCTTTTAGTCACTTTATCCCCATAAGTAATTCAACTCAATATATTAAGAAATTTTAGACAAAAAATACCCTTTTATTTTATAGCATTACTAAATTGTTATTATCACTTTATTCGTTTGGATTATAGTGATACAATAATTTTAGTTCCTAATATTGTTTTATAGACGTTTTATCTCATCATTAATCTAACTAGTATGGTTAAAAAATTTTAAATATCGCTACCCTTCTTTATATATAATTAAAAATAAAAAAGTTGGAATGGTTATTTTCCTTTTTTGTCACTTTAAGAGATCAAAAAATATAAAAATAAAAGTATTTTCTCAAATTTCTTTTTTCCCACTTATTAAGACTAGGAAAAGGAAAAGAGATAGGAAAGAAGGAGATAAAAAAATTAGATTTTGTAAAAAAAGAAAATAAAGAAACGTCTAACATTATCGTATTAATTTAAGGTTGTCAAGATTAGAATTGGAATTTGGTGGTAAACAAAAATGTGAAATAATTTTAAAATAATAAAAGTATTTAACTCTTTCTTATTTGTAATTTTTAAAAAAAGAATTGAGCTCTCTCTCTCTCTCCCCCTCCCCCTCCCCCTCTCCCTATTTCTATTATTTTTTTCAATATTAATAAAATTTCTAAGAAGAAAGAAATTAATACTTTGACTTTTTTTGTTGATATTAAAAGGAGAAGAATCCCTCTAACTTTTTTCATGCAAAGAGGAGGATAGTTTCTTCTAAGGTTTTTTAACTTGTTAAGTTGGTTTAATAGCAGGATAAATTGTCTAAAAAAATAATTCTAGAGGGTAAATTGATAATGAAACTATATTTTATGGGGGTAAAGTAATAATAATTTTAAGAGTTAAACATGTCTTTTCACTTTAATTAACAAACTCCGTTAAGTTTGACCGTTAGTTTTGGGGGTAAAGTGACTAAAAGATAACGTTAAGGGAGAAATTGATAATAGCACCAAATGTTAATGGGGTAAAATGATAATAACCCTGCTTTTAATTATTTTACACAAATATGATGTTGACAACTTATGACGGGAAAGAAGACTGTTTTAAGCAATCTCAGAAAATAAAAGTTTTAAGAGGATAGAATTCTTTTAACATCAACTCATAAGATATTCTACGCTAATAGAATTAACTGCACAGAAATGACCATTAATTCTTCTGCAATCAGGATTCTTGCATTAATCATCAATTTTTACAGTAACCCAGAAGTACACAAGTGCTAAACAAATAACTTGAGGTGGAGAAATACAGGAATTTCTTATCTTGAAGTAGAAACAGACTTGAGCAATATCGGTGACGAATATAATGGTCTAAATTGAGAGTATGCAAGCCAGCATCTCTCTTGATGTGTCTAGCAATTGGTTTAGAGATTTGCTTTCCAAGGCAAATATTTCTAGCTTTGCTACTGGGAATATCATTACTTCTACTCTACAAAAAAAATTAGGGTTAATCACAATTTATCCCCTTAAAAAATACCCTATTTCTCAGTTTACCCTCTAACCTTTAATTATGCTCACTGAATCCCCTTTAGGACAAAATTGCCCTTGTATTATTTTGACTTTTCATTTACCTTGTTTTCCTTTCTTTTATTTCTTTTTCTCTTTCTTCTTTATTTAATTCTTCCTCTTTTCGACAAAAATTTTCACCTTAATGATTGAAATTAAAAAAGAGGAATTGCAGAGATCTATCTTCTCCTTAAATGATTTAAAAAATATTCAAATCACTTTCCTAAAATACAATTTTTTTAGCCTTTCAATTCTTTTAATTTTGGATTTTCCTCTTTCCTTTCTAGTTTCTCATTTTATTCTCAAGAAAATATTATAAGATGAAATTATTTTTGGACATTATTTGGAGAAAAAGGAGAAATCATTTGAAATGCCTGCCCTTATTATTTGGTTAAATGAATTTTTTTCGCCACACACTTTTAAAATGTTAATTTTACCTCATTTATAAATTTAATTAATAAAATCGGGTGTCAATCCAAGTTTTTGACAACTTTTTAGTCTGAAATCACTATGTGATCCACATATAGTTATTTTTTATATACAAAAGTGTTCGATTCTATTTTTTCAATCACAAAAGTGAATATAGATTAGGCTGGATCCCACTTTTTTAGGAGAAAAATAAATATGATTTAGGTCAAATTCTATTTTTAGAGACTAAAATGAATATGAATCAGATTATTTATTTAATTATAAATAAAATATAACATTTTTATCAAATCATTTGTCTCGAAATTACCTTCTCTTTCATCTGTTTCGTGTTTATATAGTTGTCACGTGTATTGATGAATTGATAACTCAAGTATATCTTTTATATTTTATATGCTTATTGTGTAATAGGAAAATCCTTTATATATAAAGAGATCACTATTAAGGAAACATCATGTAATAGAAATCCTAAAAATATATATAGAGAGAGATTGCTGTTAAGGAAAGAAGTGGAATAATTGCCTCCTAAAGGATGATAAAATTCCTAACAAACATCTCTTATATATTTTGTATGCTTAACGTGTAATAGAAAGGAGAGATCGCTATCGGGGAAAGAAATGGAATAATAACTGCCTAACAAACTCGACTACCCAGTTGAGAGTCCCTTAATACGTCATCGGTCTAATATAATAAAACCAACCTGTTGACGAGCTGATCTCATCCAAGCGACAATAAATAAAATATAAAACGACAACCAATGTTTAGCTCATGAAAATTCTGGAATCAAGAATTTTCCATAGGAGGAGGACGGCACACCAGAGTTGCTGGCCGCAGGCAGCTCACCACTACCGCCACTGTGCTGCCAGAATCAACATTATTAGATATCACGGTAAAACTCTCACTTCTCCTTCCTATATCTGTTTCAAATGAAAAATTTTATTATCATTTTCGAACTGCCACTCTTTCTGTCTTCTTTGAAAATTTAAATTTGAAATTTATGTTCGAAAGACTATGAATTTGGTTGGATTAAAAGTTTTGGGGTTTACTTGTGATCGGATTTGACGCGAAGAGCATGTGGTGGTCTGGGCCCATCAGCTTTTTGTTAAAATGCCGAGGTGAAAATTGAAAGGAAACTTAGAAAATTTACTTTTTGTTGTGCAATATTCCATTTGGAGATTGTACTCTGTGAGAGTGTTTAATGCGGCAGTCATGGTTGTTTGCCAGTGCTACTGGCAACTCTGTGAGGGCGTTGAACGGGGCAGCCATGCCTGGCTTTGCTAGTGCTGACAGCAACTCTATGAGAGCGTTGAACATGGCAGTCATGGCTGGCTTTGCCAGTGCTGCAGGCAAACTCTAGATGCAAAAAAACAGAGAAGACGGCTGCCACAGTTGTTCATTGTTTGTTAGTTTGCTTTTTTTTTTTTTTTTGTGGTAGACCCCCATTGCACAAAGCATTTTGTGGGTGGTTTAGAGAGAGAGGCATCTGGCAACTCTGTGTTAGCGTTGCATGCGGCAGCCATGCCTAGCGTTGCCATTGCTGTCGGTGAACTCTATATGCAAAAAACAGAGATGGCAACTGCCACAGTTTCATTCTGTGCGTAGATCATATTGTAGAACCCACATGCGTAGATCATTTTATGGGCGGTTTAGGGAGAGAGGCATCCGGCTCGTACAAAGCTGGCTGGAACTGGAATATAGCTTGCCTAGGGAGAATAAGTGCAGACACTGCTCTTTCACTGTGAGAATAGAAAAGAACTTTCTAAACTTGGAACTTAGTCCCTTGGATTTTTCTTGTTTCCTACTTTGGTCCCATGCTGAGGTTTAGATGCTTTCTCATTAATCCTCTGGAGTATATTTCTTCGAAGTTTTAATTAAATCCGTAGGTTGAAAAAGTGAAATGTAATTTAATTGAATTGCAACTGAGAATTAATTTGCCATTTTTCGAACCGTATTAGTTTAATTAGCTTCGTTAGTCTTCGTTCTCTTCTAAAACTAATGTGAGTGCAACGTGGTACATGGAATTGTGTAGCTTATATTACTTGCTTTTGTTTATTTACTCATGTTTATCATTGTAGAATGTTGCAACAGTTCCAGTACACATTTTTCTAGTCTACAAGCTGTCATACTTCTATTTCTTGTTCAAGGGCTTTTTTCTTATTTCTTTTATATATTTGTGTTTATTTTTTCTTGTACCTTTTTTTTTTTATAAAACTAAAGTTCCAGAATGACAAAAAAAAACCCTTAAACTTCTCAATTACTCCCTCCATCCTGAAAAGTTTATCACTTTTCGAGACTCCAACTTATTATCAACAGTGCCCAACTATTGAAGAATTCATCTACATTTTTCATTTTGCCCTTTGTTTGAACACGAAAGGTGAACAATGGATTGCAAAACATGACAGCAAGGCCCACATATTTTTTGGCTGGCATATGACTTATTCTAGTTGGATTTAGAGCGTGAAGACACGGAAGGCAATCATTTCAAAATCGTTGGTGCAGCATATCAATCAACTTAACAACAAAGTTGCAAGTCTTGATGGAAGACTTTTTGGCCCTAATAACACTTACCTTTTGGTCATGTGAGATAGGAGTAAGCATTGGAAATTATTCATAAAGTTCACAACCATTTTTGGCAAGTGACAAGCATTTTGGGACAAATCAAAAGGAAAGTATGACATTTTCAATGGGATGGAGGGAGTATTAATTTTACTTTGTCTTATGTTTCTTATTCTTCACCCTATATCCTTTTTCTCTTTTTCATTGAATAAACCAAAATTCTGAAATACCATTTTATTCTCATTTATTAAAAAATGGGGGTGTGACAATGTGAGGGTGGTCCATTATGTAATGTACTTTGTGAATATTGACTATAACTAATTCAGCAATCAAAATTTTGGAGTATTCTAATGTGTTAATAAATTATTTTCACCCTTTGAGTAAATATACTTGCCATAAACTTTTAATTGTTGTCACAAAAGAGATATTGTTAATCTATTCAAATGCTACACTTTGGTTTATCATTGCTTGAATAAAGAGGAGACCATAGAGACCTCTGTCCAGTTTTTGAAATTTATGCAGCTTTTCTCTTGAGGTGTTTAGTGTGTTTGAGTTGTTGGTGAAGTTGTGCCTAAGTGAAATTTTATCTATTTAATTCTCATAGTGGTACTTTAGCAGTTTTTTATTGGTGAAATCTTTTTTCCCTGGAATCAACCTTGTAATGTTACAGGATTTTTTCCCAATCTTAAGTGGGAGGTGTTGAACCCAGGACCAGCTACTTACAACCCCTTCCACCTAACTACCCAACCCAACCCTCCCCCAATGTTATGTTTTGAGATTTGGATTTTCCTATTTTTGGTAATTTGTGTGTATAAGATTGGCTACCAAATTATAAGTTTAAAGTGGAATATAGTGTTTATTTTCTTGTGGACGACTAATTGATACACTAGCCTGAACTTGACTTTGATCACTAAGCTTCACCGTTTGCGCATGCAACAAGTGGAGTATTTTGATACATGAGCTATTTGTTGGGTGTGAGGGTAAATTGATCAGTTGCAGAGGTGAATTATGGTTCTTGTGGGGTGGAAAGCATTGTTTTGAGACGTGCTTTTGTAATGCTAGTTTTTGGGTCACAAAGTTCTCTGCATGATATAAGCTAAATTCTACCCTCTCGTGTCATGCAAGTGGGAATTCATACATCTAGAAAAACTATTACTTAGAGTTTTTATTCTTAAACTAGGATTCTTGGGCTATCTTTTCTTCTTTATTCATATTTTCACTTAAAGTTATGGTTTACCAACTGCTTTAGTTTGATTAGACTTGATCAAAAGGATGCAAGTCTTATGTTGATTTAAATATCTTGTGCTCTTCAAATAGATGAATCTGACCATTTTTTGTTCTGCCGTTTTTTTAAAACTATAATAGTATTAGCAGAAAGGCTGAGAAAAGGAAAAACTCAAGCTACATTGTTTTATTGCCTTTGCAATGGAGAAGCCTTCCTTTTTCGACAAAATGATGCTTAATCTCCGTGCGACTTGCAGGTGTGTAGTGTATTTTTTGACTGCGTTGATTTGTACACTTCTACTTTTAGTATGGCAAACTAATTGTAGTAGTACAGTAAGAATGAATCTTCATATTGCAAGAGTTGGTATCATATTCATTTTTTTTGTTCCTGCTATGTTACTTCATATTGGTTTCAACTAATGTTAGGAAGATTTTCCTGATTCAACATACATTTATTGGAGAAATCGTCACTTTGGATTTCAACAATGAGATGAAACGCGACCATACTTCATAGCAGTTGGACTTAGGTCCATTGCATGTAATTGTTGTGTCTGAGGTGCATCTTTTGCTTTGCCATATAATTTTCATGACTATCAACTCTCTATGCATTGGTGTTGGACCACTTTTGAAAAACATAAATGCCTTTTTCGTTTTAATGTTTTGGAATGGCTAAATCCTTGAAATTAATGCCAAAATATAGCCCAGTGTGATTGCAAAGCAAAAATTTTTAATCTACTTACTAGCTCTGAATTTACTTCTTGTCCTAGCTCCCTGACTTTCCAGTTAGAGATTTTCTTTACCCTTATCGTTTCTTATTACATTCTTTTGCCTAATTGGGTTTTGAAGGTATTATACTGGATATCCAAAGGATCTTGGGCCATCAAGGGTTATTCATTTTACTTCAGAGCGGGAGTTTGTCCAGCTTCTTCATCAAGGTTACCCTGTGGTTGTTGCATTTACCATCAAGTAATTTTGCATTTTGTTCTCTTTTCTTTGACTGTTTGTCTTGCTCATGAACCTATATACTCAAGTCATGCATTTCTAATTTATGCAGATGTAACCTTACAAAGCATCTTGACAAAGTTCTCGAGGAAGCAGCAGTCAAATTCTATCCTCATGTAAAATTTTTGCGTGTAAGTCACTTCTAGATGCTTTTATTTTGTACTCGTCGTCTTCCTAATTGGGATGTTTGATTAGACGTAACACATGTTTTTTGGGTGCTTGATAGAAATATAAGCTGTATAATGTGATGAATCGAAAATGTGATGTCACTCCTTATTGCCCAATTAAACATTTAGAAGGGGAACAATAGGTCCACAAACCATTCTTTATGTTTCTCAAGAGCAAAATTTTTGTTTTCCAGAAGTGGCAGTCCATAGAAGTTGTTAGTTTCCTCATTTCACTTTCCTCAATGCTGGAATATAGCTGAAGCCACCTTCTTTTCATGCATATGAAGGTTATTGTACATTTATTACTTCGGTTTTCATACGAGAATGCTTCACCACAGGCGTATATATTAGTGTGCCTACACCTGGATGCTTACATGGTTTATAACTATCTTAGTGCTAATAGCTGTATAACTGAAATAAATTTTGCTAATGTACATCACTGATCATTGAATTTGCATTTAGGAAGAATTCCCTGTAATGAGAATATTCGGCCATCTCACTAAATTGGTTCTGTGCTGGAAATATCTTTGCCATAACAGGTTGAGTGCCCAAAGTATCCTGGGTTTTGTATATCTCGCCAGAAGACGGAATATCCATTTATTGAGATATTTCACAGTCCTGAACAAGTAAGTGTAACCTGAAAACCATATCTTTTTGTGGTTTGCTTTACATTAATTGAACAAGTAAATGTACATTATGACAATTATTATTATATTCTTCATAATGTCATGCCACATTTTTTGAACGTCTGATGGAGCAATTTGTCTTTCTAGTTTTGTAGAATGTTTTTGTGGAATTGATAGTGTGCCCATACTCCTCTAATCCCACATCCTATTAAAGTTCTTTCATGTGTTATTATCTAAATGTTTATCAACAACTACTTAAGTGAGATGTAATAGGGAATGACTTCTGGCTGAATGTAGTAATGAGAACATTGCAAGTCTGGTTGATGGATAAGTGAGAAATGCAATTCATTTGTCAGTGTACATGAAATGAAATTCGTTGAAACTTGAAAGTGCAAAACACTTGCCATAAAATTCATCAAGTAATGCTTTCCTGGCTAATTCAAGCAAAGATGAAGGGTCAAAATTCTTTTTAACTGTGTAGTGTATTTTGAGCTAGTTATCATGATAAGATTGATAAACTTTTAAGGTTTTAGTCTATACTTAGTTCAAGTTGCCGACACTTTGACTGTAGCAAAGTTATAATAAGTTGTGGTATGCAACCTCATTGTTTGAGTAGAAGTGAGTATATGAATATCTTTGTACCTGATTGCCTGGATTTTTTAATGCAAAGAAGAAACTTCAACAAAGCTATCTGTTTTGAGTGTCCCTATGCATATGATTTTAGGGTTCCAATGAAACTTTAGCTTTATTTGGAAACCCAGCTTGTTTTTTTGTGTCAATACCTCCACAATGACAAACAATTTGATGCTGAGTTAAACATGTGATGATGAATACTTGTACTCTTACAAAAAGCAAGATTATCTAGTTGATGTTAATGGGAATTTTTGAAATCTTACAAAAATCAGTAGTATCTGTTTGATTTAATTTTTTTTTGAATTACCATAAACATACCTAAAAATGGTAATGACAAATCTGATCATTTTTTACCTCTTGAAATTATTGGGTCCGTACGGATTAGATTTTTTTAGGAGCCATGCTATAGCATTGTATCTCAAAAACTTTACCGTACAATTGTATGACAGGGCGTTTTAAGGATTTAAAATTTTTTGGGGACGTTTTTATAATTTCAAAACATCTTCTTCCTCCCTACCTCAGCCTCCCGGCCACCCTTCACTCTTCTCTGCCAGCTCCCTCTACCGCCACGCCCACCCCTCACCAGCATTGCAAAGGACCGCCACTTCCTCCCTCCATCCTCTGTCCTCCTTCCCCTACCCTCTTCCGAAAACTACGAATCCATACAGAGCCATTATTTTGCTTAAGTAGTTAATCATTCCAGGAGAAAATTCAGCTGTATTGGGAAACCCAGTTTTGCTTCCTATATATGCATTCATGGTAACAAAGAGTTTGATGTTAATCAAACATGGACTCTGATATTAATGAGAACTTTTACAAAAAAATAAGATTATCTGTTGATACTAATGGGAGTACTTGGTCTATTACAAAAACCAAGAGTATTTGTTCCATTGCCACCTTGAAATTTTTTGAACTTTTTCAATACTGATAACATACCTAAGAATGTTAATCTGAAAATCATTTCTTTTTTTTTTTCCAGTGAAATTATTTATTTGTTATCAAGGAATAGAGGATAGCATAAATATTTGGTCTCCTATCCTCATACATCCACCTACCAGCAAAACTTCAAGAAAATGGAGTCAAGTGTGTAATCAATATGGGGTCAACTTTCCTGATCTGCTCTGGAATTGTAATAACCTTAAATCTTGTTTATTATATGTGGAATAATTTCATTTTGGGTGTATTATCGAGGATATGCCAGCTATTTGGTATTTGAGGCATTTTCCTTTCCTTATCTCTTTCTTACTTGTGGATTTAAGTAGACAGATTCTTTCTTTCTTCAAGAGAAGGTAGTTTCATGATGCTTTCTTTTTCCCATTTGTCTTGAGTAAGAACTTTTGGTAGTATTGTGGACCCGAGCAGGGTAGGATGCTTATTCCTATTTTGTAAGTCCAAGTCAATTAATCTTAGATTTGGGCTATGTGCAGCTGACAATTACGTGCCTCATTAAGCTCTATCTTTGTCTTTTGAACCAGGCAATTAATCATGGAAGGGTTGCTGATCCAAATATTACAAAATACTCTGTGCAAGTTTTACCTGTAAGTTTTGAGTCTTTATGGACTTGCAGCAGTCTTTCGTGCTATGTTCTCTTATCCTTTCTCTAAGATCTCAATGTCTTTTTTTTTTTATTTTTTCATATAGTGGTTTCTAGAAAGAAGCTTTACTTGATGATAGCTTAAATTGCATTAGAGTGTCACCCGGGATCTGAATTGTTGCTTGTTATCATACTGGCTCAAAATGGTTCACTATTTTACAAGTCGCCCATAATTTTCTTGTGCACTTTAAATTCTGTAGTTTGGATGTCTTATGTCTGTCTCACTGGATGACCAACTTTGTGATGAACACTATTCTGTGCTCAGTATGTCCTGATCTAAACCAAGTTCTTATACGTGGTACAGAAGATTTTCCTTTATGGTAGTTGCGAATAACTAAATAATTACCGTTCTGTTCTTTTACTAGTGAGTTTCAAAGCTTACATAAGAAAACAGAAAACCTAGAAAATCTCTTAATGAGTGATTCTAGCCACTTGTCTCATGTATACGCATCATGTCACATATGTTGCTTGTTATATGTGTGGCCACCTACAAGCCTGTACAAGTTTACATGAACATATAAGGGCGTAGGTAGGCTCTGGGTCTGGGTCTATATTGTACAAAACCAGATGCTTCGCAACCCATAATTCTCTTACAAGGTCTGGTTCTTGGTAAGGTCTGTGTTGAGAATTTGAACTAAGAGTTATGAAACTATGATGGAACTGGATTGGGTCGGCACAAAACCCTCCCCATTGACATGCTAGTGAATGTAGTTCTTCTTGGTAAACAATTTTTCTCAATAAAGCTATACATATCTAAGTTGTTTGGATGTCACATATGCGAGGTAGCCTTTTGAGAATTCAAGTACATAAGTTCTGATAGTTTGTTACTCTTTAAGCGTATTTGAAGACCATAGGCATGTTTTGTGGAAGTATCAGGACTGTGCCAGGAACTTTCTTTTATTTTTTTTATGGTAGTAATGGTTAAAGAGTCTTAAAAACATTTACGTAAGCAAGAGCTGTAAAAGTATTGGTGTTCGAGAGCTGCTAGAGAGCTTTTTTTCCAAACTAGTGATGCATCATCACTTAATTGACACAAATTTTACTTGCTGTTTGGTTATTACATGAAAATACACAGTATTAAGCTAAGTTTTCCGAGCCTTGTGGAAAAGTAAGAATCTCCAAGAGCATAGCTGGTCCATATACAAGCTAGTGAGTTTGGAAATTCGCCATTCTTTGATTCTTCTCCTTCTCCTACTGATGCTCGCTACTGTAGAATTGCTGAAATTATCTTGTCAAAGATGAAGAAAATTGAAAGTCAAGGTAGTCAGCAGTGGTCAATTCACAAAATGTGATGTTTTTGGGTCTATTTCACAATCATATTTCATTATGTAAGAGGATTCTTCGTAAAAAAAATTGGGGTTTGCGTATCACTTGATAGTGTTTTGTTGTTTTCCTCTGTAGAATGTAGTGAGAAGGACAAACTTAATGCATCTGAAGCTACATATGCTAGTTTTATATGGGCTTTGCCCATCAATTAGATCTTTTTCACCAGATTGAAAATTGATGAAGAGTGAAGCAGTGACAAGCATCTTTACCTTTTATTGTGGCATCTGAAATTGGATCAACTGGGAGCTGCAGGATATATGCCTTCTCATGATGCTGTCAAAATCTTCCACAATAATTAACCTTTAGTTGATACTCAACGGTTACAAGTCCCTAAGTTGGCTTAGTTGTTAGCAACAACATTTTGGAGGTGTTATGTTTCTGATGTCTGTTGTGAAGGGATTTAGGCAAGAAGAACACAAATAGATATGCTCTGGAATCTGGATGGAGAACTTGAGGTGGTGTTGTGTGTTTACGCTCTAGTATGCAGCTCATGTCTAATGAACTATGCTTACTGGGCTTCATTGTTTCCCATGAAAAGAGAACATACTAAGATACTTGTCTAAAGCTCGCATTGTCATAACTAAAATGGGACATCTTGATGGCTTTTTAAGTCTTTTGGAAGTGAAGGACCTGATGCATTCTTATTAGTATTTAAACAGATTTTTTAACTGCTTAAATTGTACTTTCATTCATGAGCCAAGTAAGTTGGATTTTCTTATTCTGTTGAGTTGGAAAATTTTCATAACAAATACAACTGAAGTATAATGAGTACTAGTTTTATATGGAATATCATAGTCTTTAGGTTATGATAGAGCTGGTTATGTCTGTTGATCAACCTTATAGACGTCATCAGTGTAAAAGAGATCATTGTCTAGAGCTTAACACATAATCACATGTTAAATGCAATTGGATATGTGGTGAAGACCAAAGCCTTGCCCATGTAAGCATTTGTTTACAGTGGTACCGTATATGACATTAGCCAAATGTCTATGTTATAATCCTCATTCTATAGAATTCAATTTCTTTCCAGTATGTTTTACCATCTGAAACTCAATCTTGATTGCTGTTTGTAACAGATTGGATTTTTCACCTTCTGAATCTTTTTATGTACTTTTATCATCCTTAGCCTTTTGTATCTTGAATGCGGAACTCATCACTTTCTTTCAATCTGAATAGGTGTTAAACTGTAATTCCCTGTTTTCTACCTTAAGTTAGCCTTATCTTAAGTTTGATAGTCATTAGTGTAAATCTCTCTCTCTATCTCTCGTTCTCTCATGACGAATTGTTGTTTGATCAAGTCTTTGTTTGCATTCGCAGTTCAACTATGATGCCAGCACCTATGGTTTCAGAGAATTTTTCAAGCGCCATAGCATACATCATTCTGGTCCTAGGTGAAACTTTACTGAGTTCAGCTTTTTCCAAGCGCCATGGCATACAGCATTCTGGTCCTAGGTGAAAACTTTACTGGTTCAGCTTTATGTATATACTCCAACTGCAGTAGGATATGGCTTCTGAACTTGGAACTCTTCTGGCGTTTAATTTTTCTGGGGAAGAATTTGGAGTGTACTTGATTTGCTAAGGATATATAAGTCCTGAATTTGGCTTTCAGATGGTTTAAGTACTTGACAAACTTGACAAACATCAATCCAGTACGTAAAGCACTGCTTCTTTGTTACCCCAATGTTTTAGTTGCAAAACCAGGAAGTACAAGAGCACGAGGTGCTCTTCCTTCATGTAGGATTTAATATTTTAGCCGCTGGAAATTTTGAATCTTTCATGCGTTTTGAGAATTTAATCCTTGCTTTTGGTTTGTTCCATACTAGACAAGGTAAAATATTATAAGCATGCATTATTGTATCAGTGCGCTTTGCCATTGGAGCTCATCTTTTACCTGATTTGGTATGTGGATCAACCAAAAGCAAAATATATAATATTGAATTAAGTGAATTGGCAGTTCGAAATTTTTAGTACCAAAGGCATGCCCTAAAAATTGCATGACATTGGAGTGAAATAGGAAATAATTTGCATCTATTGTAGAGAAACGCAATGAGGATGTAAAATGATAAGGTCACTTCTTGCGAAGCTACTCACTTCTGTTTGTTCGTTTATTCGCTAATCACTATTATTATTAGTTACAATTGATGTTTTTCTCGCCTCTTCTATTCATATTGGAACCTCCATTTTTTATAAGCCAAACATGTTCCCAGTTTTAGCTCAATGATATCTTCAAACTACAAGGTCATTGAGCAAATTATGGGATCGTATCAGTTGATCTCATCGAAAAGAATGATCGAGTCAATGGCAATATTCATCAAAGAAGCCTTGTTATCATCAAGTAATATGGGTAAAGGGTGCCCTGCATGTTTTATAAAGATGCCATTAGCAAGCATAAAGAATCTAAAAGCAGAGCATCTTCGTAGAATCATGAAAGAAAACTATTCAACAATATATGGAGATAGCTTCTGTAGTCTTATTTGAGCATTAGTTGTTGGAGAATATGAGGATTGCAAGTGTGTAGAACTTGCTACAGAGCTATTAGAAGAATAATTTCAAGAACTCAATTAAACTAATTTTGGAAAATTCAAGAGAGTTTCAAGAAGACATAAAAGAAAAATTAAGATTAAGTTGTACAGAAAATCCTCTTAAATTTTGGAATAAAAATCAAGATTATGCTGAAATAAAATTCAAAGATGAAAATAAAATAATTAGAGTTAAACCCATGAGGTATAATCCTACTGATCAAGATGAATTCAAAAAACAAATTAAAGAATTATTACAAATTCCTTTAATAAGAGAAAGTAATTCTCCCCATTCTTTATCTGCAGTTATGATAAGAAACCATGTTGAAATAGTGAGAAATAAGCCTAGAATGGTTGTTAATTACAAACAATTAAATAATGAAACCATATTCGATGGATACTTTTTACCACATAAAGAAACTCTCATGTATATGAGTAGAAGAGAGAAAATATATTCTAAATTTGATTGTACAGTGGATTTTGGCAAATAAAAATGCATCCTGATAGTATTAAATACACAGCATTTAGTACTCCTCAAGGACAATATGAATGGTTAGTTATGTTGTTTGGATTAAAAAATGCCCCTCAAATATATCAAAGAAAAATGGATAAAATCTTCAAAGATTATCCTTTCTTATATGTATATGTTGATGATATATTAATAGCTTCAAATTTAATAGAAGAACATTTAGAACATTTAAATATATTCTCTAAGTTATGTTTAAAACATGGAATCGGATTATCGAAAAAGAAAGCGAAAATATGATTAAAAGAAATTGAATTTTTAGGATTAGAAATAAATGGTGAAGGAATAAAAATGCAACCGCATATTTTAAAAAAAAATACAAGCATTTCTTGATAAATTAGAAGATAAAAAATAATTGCAAAGATTTTTAGGAACATTAAATTATGCATCTGATTTTATCTGCAACTTAGCGGATAAAAGAAAAGAATTACAAAAATTACTGAAGAAAAATAATAAATATGAATTTTCTGAAAATCATATAGCTCTAGTAAAGAAAATAAAACGAGCAATGTAAAAATTATCCGTTTTTAACCTTACCATCTGATGAAGATAATCCTATATTAAAAACTGATGCTTCTGAAGAAGTTTGGAGTGCAATTTTAAAAACAGAAAATAATTTATTATATAGATATGCATCTGGAATGTTTTCAGATGCCGAAAAGAGATATCACATCAATGAAAAAGAATTACTTGCAGTAATAAGAGGATGTCATAAATTTTATTACTTTTTATTACCAAAAAAATTTAAGTTGTGAACGAATAATTCTCAAGTAGGCTTAACACTTAAAACGTTTAAAATAAAAACAAATGAATCACCACTTTTCTCTTTCCAAAATCGTGACAAAAGAGCGGAGCAACTCCCTCTTTTCTCTGAAGTTTAGTCGCTCCACTTCCCTCTGAGAAATGTACCACCTTAGTTCTCCTTCCTCCTTGAATCAGGGGTGTGCAAAAAATTCGAATGCAGAATTCCTGACTGAATTTGAAATCAATACAGAAACCGAATTCGGTAAAATGGTAAAGCGGTTGAAATTCGAAGTATCCGAATTCAATATGTTCCAATTAGCGTCGATTTCGAATTAAGATATCCCCAATTCGAGAAGACCGAATTCGATTTCATAAATGGAATATGGATTCAGTGATCGAGTGCATATTCATATTCGACAGTAGATACATAAGTATGTATATAATATATTATTTATATCATATTGATATATGGAAATATAATAATATAGTATAACACTCTATATAATATAAAGAAAAACTAAATAACTCAAAACCCTACCTTCTTTATATTTTCATCCGTCTTTCCCATTTCATCAATTGAATAATATTGATGAATTGTTGGCCTAATTTGTATTTTTTTTAAATATTACTGTATATGTAATGTGTTTGGTGAATCAGATACGGATGTGTTTGTGGTTCTTGATTCTTGCCATAAATTGTTCTATTGGTGGGAATTTACTTAATGTTGTCTTGAATCTAATCAAGTGATTATTGCCTTAAATTGATAAATTTTACCCTAAAATTGATTCTGCCTAAGATTTTCAGAAAACTCTTGTTTTGCATCAGGTTTAATTTTAGAATGAGTATCTAAAGTAATTTGTCCTACTTTATCAACGAACTCATCTAAGTCTGATTCAATTGCAAATTCAATTTGACTAATCAATATTTAAGATTAGCAATATTCACCATATTCAGTCTCTAGGTTATAGTGTGAGGACCCGAATTTTAATTTTACTTACTTTTATTTCATTTTACTGATTTAATTAATTATTTGTTCACCCGTTTACTCCGAATAATTTATTTCCTCCATTTTAAATCCATTTGCATGGAACAATGTCTCATTTATATTTTTAAAACGTTTCATTAGCAAATTTAATTTCTCTGTGGTTCGCTTAATAAGAAATAGTGAATGCATGTTTTTTGAGGCAAATTCTATCCGAGAGTATATTAATCTTAGAGAATTAAGAATGATTAATAGTAGACTAAGAAAAGTTAATTGAGGGATTAGATATGAGTGAGTTAACTTAAGCTCAATTAGGAGCACTAATTGCTCACTAATCGATTGTTGACTTTTGGGGTATCAAGACACCTTTATGTCATTCATCTTGTCACACCATCAAATCACCCAACTACCCCCCAAAACCTTTCTTCTCCCCACTCCTCTTGGCCGACTCCCTCCCTCTCATTTCCTACCAAAAATTTCAGCTCCCTTGTCTTCCATTTTCCTCCAAGAAGACTCTCCAAATTTGCTTATGTTCTTGATTTTTCATACAAGCTTGGAAGGTGACTTGAGCAAGGAAGGAACTTTGGTGATTTAAGAGCTCATACACTAGTGGTTAGTTTTCATTCTTGGAAGCAAATGTAATCCTCCAAGTTCTCATCTTTTTCCTCTCAACTATTAGTAGTTAGTTAGTTGTTGGGTTATTGATGGGTTCACAAGAATCTTGACACTAGGTAGTGGACTTGAGGTGACTTTATAGGTAGAGGCCTTGAGGATTATTGTGTGTTTACTTGCTTGTTTGATGTTTATTTTGAGAAATTATGGCTTAGTTTTAATGGAAAGTTGGAAAAGAAAACTAGAGGAATGAGAGATGCATGCTGTCCGAATTTTGGCTTATTGAAACTGTGACGACATCACCTCCCTCTAGGGCATACCCTAGGGTTTAGCAAGTCGCCTGTCCAACTCTCGCCAGAACTTACTCACCCGTAGCTCGAGAAAATAACTTACATCCATAGAAAAACAAATAATACAACAATTTCAAACTTAATATATACATTGATGTTTAGATCCAACTACAAGGCTTATACACGCCCAAATACGTTAAAGTGTTTACAAACCAAGTATAATCAACCCTAGTCGGGTGCTAGAGCGAGTATAATTTCAAAATTCAAAAACTAGACTACTCTAACCTATACAAGTCTCACGCCTCGCTCGTACCCCCTATAAGAAAAACAAAACTAACGGAGTGAGTTAAAACTCAGTGATGTTCCAAATAGCAAATTGACCATTAATTAAAAGTGAAAGTATCATAATAGTGAAATAACGAGCATAACAAGTCAAGAAAATAAGCAATCACACTTCATATGGCCAAACATTAAATATTCAGCATTTCATGTAAAAGGATACAGTTACTTTTGTAAACCAACTCCACCATAGCTTGATTATATAATAGTTGACACTCCGTCAACTTTCAAGTAAGGTAACTAATCCAGTAGTACACCACTTAACTTCAATCTCCATCCACCAACCAAACCCTTTACCAGGCCCGCATTCCAAGATAAACACTGGTGGTAATACTCGAGTATACCGATTAGTCGAGGAGATAACACTCCATTCGACAAAACTAAAGACCCAGGGTTCGTTATCGAATCGACCAAACCCTTGCCGGCTCGACTCAATTAACTATCCATAGGGTTTATAGAATTCCAGACAAGATATGAATCATAAGCATGTATTTCAATTCAATTGCAATCAATGAATAAGAATATATCACATTAGGGCAAGTGCGATAAAGTACACTCTTGTCCTATCAAACCAATCATATATCATGTAATCATATTGGTCAAGTATTGAACACAAGTGTCAAGTTCAATCAGGTATTTGGAAGCACTCACCAAAGATGTAGTATTTTTACGAATCACGTTCAGGTATTACTCCTTGTTTGGAGTTCAAATCTGTGATAAAACACTATTTAAGAACTTTGAAATCAACTAAGATTCGAAACTTAAGTGTTTCGTTTAACGAAAATCAAGTAATTGAAAGTTATTT